CTGCTGGCAGCACGCGTTGCCGGTGGTCCTCAAGAGAGCAATAGAAAAAGAATATAATCCTAATAAAAGCGCCTAGAAAGGAGGAAGCCCCCAGCCGTGAGTGCTTGGGTGGGTCAGGAGTGGCACAGAGCACACCAAGGAGTGTTTCACCCTGATTTTGGCAAGTGTAGAGGTGCGTGCTAACCTACGTGTTAGCAATAGCATCCCCCAGGAGAGGGAGGATTTTGGCTGCGTGGTGTGAGGGTGCCCGGCAGCAGGGCGCTGGGCTCGAGGGCTGCACCCTGCATCGCTGCAGGCACAGCAGCGACCTCAAAAAGCTCAGGGGATGTGATGGGGACAGTTTCCCACTCCCTCTGGCTGCAGACCAGGACCTGGGGAGGGCACGCTGCTCCGGAGGCGGGCTCGAGGGCTGCACCCTGCATCGCTGCAGGCACAGCAGCGACCTCAAAAAGCTCAGGGAATGTGATGGGGACAGTTTCCCATTCCCTCTGGCTGCAGACAAGGACCTGGGGAGGGCACACTGCTCCGGAGGTGTTACATGGGTGTTGCGGGGCTGGTGGGTGCAGTGTGGGATGGGGCTCAGCGTGGGGCAGGCAGTGCCCAGCACAGCACCCCGCTCGGCCTCCTCTGGGAGGGAGCTCCTTCATCTCCTCGCCAGCGTTTCCTTGGGGCACATCACTATAGAAACTGAGTGCTACACACGCATCCCCTAATTCGGCCTGAGAGCAGCCCGCCAGCTCCGCTGATACAATTATCCCGGCCACAGATGGGGACAAAGCAAAGAGATTGAGATCAAGAGCTGCCGCTAATTCTGCGTGCCCGGCTTGAAATGCCTCAGCCAGGCGCCTTTACAGCATTAGGGTCCATTTGTCCGTGTGTAATTAATTACACAGCTTTGTACCTCAGCAGCAGCCATGCCGGGGTCCGTGCCTGGCGGGGGGGTGTCCATGCAGGCGCAGGGCAGAGACCATCCCCGCTGTCCTATCCCTCCGCCTGACCAGCCTCTGCTCCTTCCCTCCCACAGGGCCAAGGAGATCAAGACCAAGCTTGGCACACTGCTCCAGAAGCCCGACTCAGCCATTGACTTCATCATCCCTTACCCGGAGAAGCCGGAGAAGCCGCCCAAGGCCCAGAAGTGAGTACCGCGCTGGGGCAGGCTGTGATGGTGCCTGTGCCTGGCCGGGGGGTGGATGTGAGCCCTTTTAGGATGCAGAGGAGCTAAAGCCCCTGCTGTGGGGCCTGGGGTGGGCACAGCGGGCTTTACGTGGCAGGTGGCTTGTGGCACGCTCCTGGTGACCCACCGGCTAGGTGCGGGCTCTGAGAGTTACGTCAAGGCATCATAAGACGTGTCAGGCAATACAGCTCTACAGAAACCAGATTTCTTGTGGAAACTCAATTTACTTTTGATGAGATTTCACATTCATTCGATAAAGGTTTTGCCAAAGGCATACGGACTTCTCTGAGTCACCCGCCTCAGCCCCGAGGTGCCAGCCTCACACAACCTGGTGGCTTCAGGGCAGCAGCATGTCCTTGAGCTGGGTGCACGGCTCTATGGTGCGATGCCTGGCTCTGGGCAGTTCTGTGATGATGGCACCGTCTCACTTTATTGCCTTTGTCCTGAGCCTCTGCTCTCCGGCACCGAGCTGGTGTAACGACGAAGCAAAGCAGAGGAGAAGCTAGAGAGGCTGATGGGCTGTGCCACAGGAGTAACAGTTCAACAGAGGTAAAATAAACCTTTAAAATAAATGTTAGCTCAATCTAAAAGCAGGATGGCTTCCTGGACATAGAGTGATGGCCTCACCCAGCGTATCTCCAGCCCAGCCTCAGGCAGCTGAGCCAAGTACCTGAGCCGCTGCCCAGTCGCTCCTCTGCCACCCCTCAGCCCTGCTGCCATCGAAATGGATGCAGATGATCCTCCTGGAGACCCCTGCCTCTGCCCCAAGGATTTCCTCCCCGTCCTTGAGCTGCACCCAGACGCACACAGTGCTGGAGGACCCAGGTCTAACAGCACCCAGGCTATCTAACCTGCTGGAGGTTGGCGAGGTTGACTGGCCCAGCCAGCCTTGCTCACGGCACTGGGAACAAGGCCTCATCTCGAAGGGTGCAAGTGGCCATGTCACGACTAAAACCAGGGGAGGCGCTTGCCTCCTGTGCCCTCTTCACAAGGCCAGGCTTCTATTTCCACTACAAAATCACAACTTTTTGCTTTGCACCAGTCCCTCCCTCCACATTCCCCTTCAGCCTGGGCTATGTTACTCTAAACCATCAACGCTCCTCCAAAGGATTGCTAAAAGCCCACAACAAACCCCAAACCCAACCCCAACGTGCAGACGAGCACCTCACTCACCCTGATACAAGCCCGCAGAGACCTGCAGTCACGTTGCTGGCTGCAGCACGCGGGGACACTGGCCAGCACGGTGCCTGCCCACCACAGCGCTGCGCCGAGAGAGCTGCCCGGGCCAGGCAGGGCAGGCAGAGCCCTGACGGACGGCATGTTTCACGCTCAGTCACTGCCGCGCCCTGGATGCCTCTGCAAAGGAGACACGTTTGTCCCCATTAGCTGTCCCCACCGAAAGCTGGAGAACATCTTCACTCCCCGCTGGTTGGAGTTGTTGTCTTCTCCTGCGCTGCGCTATTGCGCAGCCTTGGTATCACTCACCCATCAGCATCTCACCCACAGTTAATATCATCCCTGGGATATTCAGCTAATGGAAAAGTGAATTTGGCAGTTTCCAGGAAATCTGGGTTGTGTTGGGTCGCTGCAGCGATGCTCCCCCTCACCAGGGGTGGGGAGGCACCTGGGAGGAATATGTAGGCAGGGAGAGCTTTTGATCCTTGATGGGAAGCGGAAATGCAATTTGAGGTCCAGAAAGCAAAAGCTCAGATCCCCCATCATAGTCTTCACTGCTGGGTGCTGGTGGTTTGATGACAAATGAGGGCTGGATACCCAACCTGAGCTTGTCCTGCTGGCTGCTCCCTCCTCGCACCCAGGGATGCTCTGCTCACCCAGAGAGTTTCAGCCCTGACACCTGCCCCTGTGGCAACAAAACCAGCCTGAGCTGCAGGGCCACCCATGGGGAGTGGGGATGGTCTGCAGTGAGCCCAGCGGTGGCATTGGGGGGCTTCCTTTCCCCTCCAGCACCAGGCATCAGCCGTGGTGGGCAGCAGGGCAGGCAGGAGCTCTGTGCCCCCGGGGCAGCTTGCTCAAACTCTTCTGAGCTTAAAAAAAACAACCCCAAAACCACAAACAAAAACCCCACAACCCTCTTTAGTCACCAAAAAAAAAAAAAAAAAAAGAGGAAAAGCCACGCACATGAAAAACGCAGAAGGTTTTCACTGGAGAGGGAGGGAGCCGAGGCTGGTGTCCTGCCTCACCACAGGGCATGGGAATGGGGTGGGAGGGCCGTGGGGGTGGAGTGGCATGGACCCTGGCTCTGGCAGTGCAGGGCTGGCAGGATCCGGGCCCCCCTGCCCCTCCCTGGTGAGGAGCATCCTTCCCTACCCCAGCAGAAAAACCATAGGGATGCTTCCCAGCTGCCTGCAGAGCCCCCTGCTCTGCCCTCCTGTACTGGGTGCTGGGGCAAGGAGGGGGCCCGCGGCTGCAGAGGGGACTCACTTGGTGGTTCAGCCACATCTCTGCTCAAAGCATGGGGGAATTAGCTGGTCCTCACCTCCCCTGGCACTAAGCTCTCCCTGGGAGGAGGGTACTCATGCTGCGATGCAGCAGCATCTCCATTGCTCAACCATCGCCCCCGCTCTGCAACAGTCTGTGTTGCTGGTTACTCCATTCGTCCCCATTTTTAAAGGAATTTAGGGGAATTTTGAAGGGATTACATAGGGGCCCCCAACATAAGAACCTGCACCTGTTGGAGTGGGTCCAGAGGAGGGCCACAAAGATGATCAGAGGGCTGGAGCACCTCTTCTGTGAGGACAGGCTGAGAGAGTTGGGGTTATTGTGGCCTTTCAGCACTTAAAGGGGGCCTACAGGAAAGATGGGGAGAGAATCTTTATCAGGGAGTGTAGCAACAGGACGAGGGGTGACAGTTTTAAACTGAAAGGTAGATTTAGATTAGATATTAGGAAGAAATTTTTCACTCTGAGGGTGGTGAGGCATAGGAATAGGTTGCCCAGAGAAGTTGTGGATGCCCCATCGCTGGAAGTGTTCAAGTCCAGGCTGCATGGGGCTTTGAGTAACCACGGTCTAGTGTAAAGTGTCCCTGCCCATGGCAGGGGGGTTGGAACTAGATGACCTTTAAGGTCCCTTCCAACTCTAACCGTTCTATGATTCTATGGATTATTTAAAAACCTGGAGCCCAGACCACGGTTGTGTGGTGAGCATGGACTACCTGGGCTTTCTTTACTTCCTTCAGGCCATCACCGGAGGAGGCTCTGCAGTGGCGCGATTCCCTGGAGAAGCTCCTGCAAAACCCCTGTAAGTTGACATCCCCCTATCCTATGTCCACCTCCACAGTGCTCAGTGAGAGCTCAGCCCCCCTGGGACCCGCAACACTCAGTGAGGGCCTGTTCCCCCCGCAGATGGGCTCACCAGCTTCCGCAGCTTCCTGCGCTCTGAGTTCAGCGAGGAGAACGTCGAGTTTTGGGTGGCCTGTGAGGACTACAAGAAAACCAAGTCCCCCGTGAAGATGGTGGAGAAGGCCAAGAAGATCTACGAGGAGTTCATCCAGACTGAGGCACCCAAAGAGGTCAGTGGCGACAGGGCAGGAGACAGTGCTGGGAGGGATGAGGCTGCTGCCCAGGTGGCCTCCATCCCAAAGGAGAGCGATGGCTGCAGGGCACACCGTACCGTGACTGAGTGGCTCAGAGGGCTGTACCCTTGGTGGGGGGCAGCCCCATCCCCATGGGCTGCACTCGCACCCTTCACAGCCCTGGTGCCCCTGTTGACATGCTCAACCTCTGCTGGGTTGCTTCCTGCCACAGGCACCTCCAGCATATGCCTGTCCCCCTCTCCCCACAGAGGGCTTACGTTAATCACAAGGGATGACAATCTGTGGTAGCCCTCAACCCAGAGCTACCTCTGCTGCAGGGTAGACCTCATCCTTCATTGCAGATTTGCCACCAATAATTCCCCCAAACAAGTAAACCTGCTTCAGTCCCTCCCCATAACCTCTGTGTGTTTGTTGGTGGTACAGAGCAGGCGAGGGGAAGATGCCATCACCCACTCCTCGCAAAGGCAGGGTCCCCATCCCTCTTACATTCCCACCACAGGTGAACATTGATCACTTCACCAAGGCTGTGACCATGAAGAACCTGGTGGAACCATCACCGAGCAGCTTTGACATGGCCCAGAAGAGGATCTTTGCCCTGATGGAGAAAGACTCCCTGCCCAGATTTGTGCGGTCGGAGTTTTATCAGGAGTTAATCAAGTAGCAATGCAGCAGGGCTGTGCGAGGCGTTCCCCACGGGCGGTCCCACTGCTTCTATCTAAACACCTGCCCCTTCTCCTGCAGCCGCTTTGCTTTCTTGATACCACCCTAAAAGAGCACCCAGGGGTGTCGCTAAACATCTCCCCCTGTGCTTTGGACTGTCAGATAGCCCAGTGTTTCCTCTCTTACAGTCTTTTTCCTCTCCCACAAAAGACCAATTAGCAGAAACCCCTGGTGATCCCCCCTGGGTTTGGGACCCAGAAGGGCAGTGGAGCAGCCCCAGCCCCGCAGTGACCGGGAACCACCCGGGCAGCCGGCGCATCCCTGGCACCGTGGGGCTCGGCTTTAGTCGGAGGCTCTGAGGCACCGGCTCTGCCTTCTTGGCATTTCTTAGGACATGACAGTTTTTCTCCCAGTTTTGCCCATATCGCTGGCTTGGCCCAGGCTCACTTCCCACCTCCCACCTCCCCAGGGTGTTGCTGAGGCTGCAGAGGGTACCCTACGGGTCCTCCCAACCCTGGCTAAGTCCAGCGTGCATGCAGCCCCGGGGTGCGGGGTGGGTGACGTCCACCACGCGACTGGCATCACCTTGTCTTCAGAAAGCAGCCCACCAGCAGACACAGTGACGGCGGTACGGCAGGGACCGCAGTGAGGCATGAGGGGTGGGTAGAGCGAGCCTGCAGCACCGCTTCCCCAGCGACTCTGCTTGGAGTGACCTGTGAGACAGCCCGTTTGCTTCACGCTAAAGTCAGTAAAGAGGATAAAACGAGATCTGTTTGTTCAAAACACCGGGACTGTTTAGCCACCCAGCCCTCCCACTCGCTCCAACCACTTGCATGACGCCCTGAGCTCACAGCCTGTGCCCGTGTCCCCAGTGCCTACGCGCGGCCCTGAGCAATGCTGGTGGCTGGTGGCATGCTTGGATTGCAGCTCCGAGGGTGTTGCTGCAGTGGTTTCTTGCTCCAGTTGCTTCTCTCTGCAGCAGGCACGCCGAAGTGGTACTTCTGCACAAACCCAATCGAGGGGCATCGATTAGAGGAGGGAAGGAAAATCATGCTGGGGGAAATAATGCTGCTAATTGCAACTGCTCCAATTCAATTAAAAAAACCCCAAGCAACCCAAAACCCAAACACAAAACTGTCATTGGAAATACGAAAAATAAACCCCTGTCTTCTTGAACAGACGGCAAACTCCGCTGAGTTTGTGTACCCTGCATCTCTCTCTCCTGTCTCCTCCCGTCTGCCCAGGACACATGTTTCCATAAGGCTGTCTCCAAAAGCAACCAGCTCTTTCCAAATGATTCAAAGCCAGCCTGCCGTCCGCTACCAGAAGAAATCACATCTGAGGACAGGGCGAGGGCGTACGTGAAAGGTGCCTGGGTTGTCATTTCATCCTTGAGGCGAATGCCATGACCCCCTGGGCTCCGTGGGGCCTGGATGTTTCATGCCTGCAATGGTTTCCTGGTTTCAGCATCCGCAGGGCCGTGGCTTGCAACGAGCACGCCGTGGGCATCGACCTGCCCAGCCGGCAACCCGACAGATGTGGGCAAAATAAGAAGCAACTGTGCTCCCAGAAGGCAGCAGCTCGGACCAGCCACCCCCTTCCGCCCCCCCCCCGAAGGCTGCTCAACCTCAACTGCAAGTCATGAGACTCCACGCCAAACGCCATAACATAAACAAGGGGTTTGCCAGCCTCTGCAAGACTTTCAAAATCTGATCAAAACCCCACCAGCCCCAAATATTTACACATTGTCACTATGGCGATGAAGAGAAAATACATCCCGAGCTGCAGGAAGTGGGCTGCGTTTTCCAGGCGGGGACGGGGAAGGATGGAGGCCATCGCAAACGTGACTGGTTATTTTTTTCCCCTCTGGAGCCAATGTCCTGAGAAAGTCAGTGCTGAAGCAGCAGTGGGTGATGCTCATGGGGCATTCCTCTGCGGCGAGCGTGGGGAGGCAGCTTGGGTAGCCCAAAAGAGCCGCAAAGAAGCCCCTGAGTGGCAGGAGGGTTCCGTCGAAAGGTCACAGGATCCCCCCTGGCAGCACCCACTGCCCAGAGCTGGTGGGCGACAAGGGGGAGGCAGGAGCAGGGCCGGGGTGCGGGAGCGGGGGCTTGGCCAGCCCTTCTGCCCTGCTGCCACCGCCTCTGCCCCCCCCTGCTCCCTGCACCCTCCTAACGTCGCCATGAACTGGTGTCAAGATAACTGGGTTCAGCATGTCCAAGCTCCCCGTTCACGGTGTGACTCATGGAAACGCAAAACCAAACAGGCCGCCCTGCAGAAAGACCCAGATCTTTCATTTTTACTTAATCCTTTGGCAGCTATTTCCGGATGCCCTCACACAATTCACACTTAAATGCCAACGCCAGGATGCTGCTGGGGGCTGGCTTGCTACGCGCCATCAAAACCCGAGATGTCACTAGCTGCCACAGTGCCGTGCGGGGCAGGGAGAAAGTGTCTGGGTATGTACGTGCCGAAAAGAAGGGTGGAGGCTGGATTCAGGAGAGGTGAAACAGTTCTATTGGAAATCCCTCCCCAGCTCGATTTCTGCTCAAATGCTGGAAGCCTACTTTAGGGATGATTGAACAGGTACCAGTGAGCTACTGGGTGGCCATAAAATGTGGCCCCTGAAGCATTTTGGAGCTCTCAGGAAGTTGTGTTTGTGTAGAAGGGTCGTTTGGCTAATTACTCAAGGCAGGCTCACCCCAGAAATGCAGCAATGCCTGTACCCACCCCACAGCCGAGCTTTCCACAGGCCCAGAGGTATTCACTGTCGGGCTGATACCAACCGGCATATTTCTGGTAGGAAATACTTAAGGTATTTTATCGCTCTTGCTCTTGTGAAATTTGGCATATGTATGAGCACTATACACACAACATGGTACATCTGTATCCCTATAGTCATATATACATATACACACACACTCCTAACATACATACATACATACATACTCCTAACGTGGGCATCTGGATCCCCAGTGAGTCAGAGAGTTAAAAAGCAGAGTTTCTGGATATTGTGCTTGGGGTCCATCACAGAGATGAGTGTGAGTGGGTTTAACACCGTCCCAGACCCCGTTGAGGGAAACCTTGGCCATCCACCCAAGTGAACATGAAGGTGCATCTTCTAAAACATCCTCCGAAATCACCCTGTGCCCGTGGTCGCTGGGTGCCTGCAACCCCAACGTGTCCAGGCGCCTGAGCTGGTGCAGGAGGCAGGTCTCGTGCTGAGGGACCCCAACCCCTGCCGTGGGGCAAGGCAACCCCATGCTGCAGCCGGGGTCCCCGGGCACCAGATGCTGCCCCCGTGCCTTCCCGGTGACTGGTCCCCACCACGGGGACATGTGGAGGAGGGCTCCCCGCAGCTGCACCCCTTGGATTAACGCCAGGGGATCATTTGCTGTGTATTTTCTGGTTACTTCTGTGACCCGGAGCCTTGCACCTCACCGGCCATGGTGTGAATCACCCAGCTCTCCACCAGCATGCCAAGGCAGGGCTCTGCCAGTGCTGCCTGGTCCCAGCCTTAGGGACAGCCAAAGCCAGCGAGGCAGCGGGTGGGAGCTGCCCACGAGGTGCTGAAAGTGTCCCAGGGCTCACCACAGTCCTTGGTCACTCCCTGGAGGGTGCTGAGCGCTGTGGCCAAGGGCTGAAGCAAGGTCAGGAGGAGGGATGGGCTCCTCACACCCACGAGCAGTAGGTTTTCAGTCTGGTGTTCTCTGTGTGGTTTCCACTACAGATCTTAACGTGGGGAAGACGCGGGGCACGGGTGTGCGGTGAGGAAATGGTTGTGTTAACCCATATTCTTGTACCACTCAGTAATCCACACATAAACATGTATTTCTGCTACTATCTCGATGGACTATTCATTTTGTCTCTTTGCACTGACAGCACGGTGTTTCCTCACCCTCTACAGGGCACTCCCAGAACTTGTGCCCAAAAGCCCTGACAAGACCAAAGGCCTCCGAGAGCTTCTTTCTGCTACAACAGTTGTGGTGGTGTCTCAGGAAACTGCGAAGGGATTAATAATATCACCCCAGGAGGGAACTCCCCAGTGCCGGTGTGGCACAGGCATCCTCAGCCCCACTGCCCGGTGCTGCCGTGGGCTTCGGCTCGCAGAGTCGTCTCACAGGCCAGCAGCGGCCACGGTGGCTGCAGGGACAGGGGCTGAGCAAGAGCCAGTCCTGCTTGTCCCCAGCCGTGCTGCCTTTGGGCGGCAGCTCCCCCCTCGCAGGGTTTGGGCCCACAGACAGGTTGAGCTCTGAGCTAAAACATGTTCCCCTCTGGAGCTGTGGGTGGGAAAACATCTGCAGTGAGGAGGTGCTCCTTCACATTCCCCCCTCCGAGGCTGTCAAGGCGGTCTCATGCTCACCCCAGCCCCTCAGCAAGGATGGTGGTCCCTGTGCTGAGCTCGCCGTCAGGCACCGCACGGACCCCAAAAAGCCCAGCATCCCCCAGGCTCATGGTGCCAAGGGTACCTGAAGGATATAATGGCTGTTTCACCTTTCCATAATTTAAAACAACCTCTGAGTGAAGCCATTTGTAAAATGATTTTTTAGAGTAACCTTGGCCAATGAGGTGCATCTCCATGCATTTTCTTTGGTTCACCCAATGGCATTTTAGAAGGGACTAATGCAAACATTTTTATTTAGAATGTATTCATTGTTACTTAAATATCAATACAGTTTTTGCAATAGTTATCGAGAGTTCCCAGTACCAGGGGAAAATAAAAGATAGCCACATGCTTGGCTATGTTCAGAGCTTTAGCAAGCCTCTCCGTCTCTTAGCTGAACATGCAGGGGTGGTATGTGTCAGTACAATCTAATAAATATGAAATAAAGCAAACGTCGAAAGAGATGTTTCTCTGTGGGCCTGGACGTGCCTACTGGAGAACCATGGCCTCCTCCTGCCGTGTCAAAACCCCGGTGTGAGAACTGTTGTCTGGACTGGGATGCAGAGTGAGGAATACACGGTTGTCAGAGCAGCAATATTCAACTGAGGAGAGACCAAGGGTTGGGGGAAAGTGTCACCGACAGCCATGGCGACTGCTCGTAGCAGGCGGTCCCCTGTGATACCCAGGCTGGCCAGTGATACCCAGTACTGCGGCCCGAGACAGCAAGCCCTGCGTCTATTCCTTGTGCCTCCAACTGCAGGTCAGTGTCAGTCCCAAAGCCTCCAGTGAAGGCCGTGTCTAACCTCAGCAATTAAAAAGTAAGCTACCTTCTGGCAAAGCCCAGGAGCAGTAATGAGACCGACACATTCCTCCTACCATCTTCAGGAAAAAAGGGAGTCATGCTACTACTGAATTATAAACACACATAAATAACGTTAAAAAAAAAAAAATAATACATTTTCAAGTACTCCCAGGCAGGGTTTTTCCTCCCCACCTGTTGTGGTAGTGGTCCTATTCCATCACAAACTGCTCTGTACAAGCCAGAGCAGGCAAACCTGAATGCAGGTGGCAATCCCAGAGTTAGTAATATACAACTGCCAAGTCTGGGAGAGAAGGAATACGTTTCTGTTCTGCTCAGCTATGGTATTAAACCTGGGAGCATGAAGGACACAATTAATAATATATGAAATAATGAACCTCCCCCAAAATAACAGCTCTGTACAGCCCTAGGAAAGATCCTTGGCCAACATAAACTAGATGCTACAGAAGAAGAAGCAGCCAGAGGGGAGAGTTTCCCTGCGATTGTAGCTGTGCTGATTGAAGGAGGCTGTTTGTCTGAAAAGGTTTGGTCTCCCTTCAAGAAAGAGTAGGAGCTCTTCCTATGTCTGATT